ACCTAGTGGTTCAATATGTTTTATTAACATGACGTCAACATTTATTTGCTTAATACCTCCCACAGTCTTGATCCTGGCCGTGCTGTATAGATAGTGGCATTGTATTGATTGAATTGTTGAAGAAAACAAGCTCCAAAGGTGCCTTCTCTAGAAAAAGACAAAAATTGCTTCACCTATGAGCTAAAAGAACTTACACTAAATACAAATAAAAACAACTTTATGCAACAACAGTAAAAGCTTATTCAAGTACCTTGGTTTTGAGCCAACTAACCAACACTGAAGACTGAAAAGAATTAGGGAAACAAAATTAAAATTATCATATATGTAAGGCTTTGATACACAGTAGAACTACCTACGTTGGCAAGTCAAGTACAGCTGTTTTCGTCATTGTTGATACCAGAAGTTTTTCAACAGCATAATCAATTTGATTGATGGCTGTCTCACTCTTGCCCACAATTCCTGTRCCATGGTTAATTAAACTTCTTTTGCTGTGGTTTGGATTGGCACCATACTATGTACAACAAAGGTATACATGTAGTTTGTAGTACATGTATGATTAATTCTTGTATCACAGAGACTGTGGTGATAAATCACAACATACCTTGACRGGGAGATATAATGCACTGACSACACCCTGGTCATCGCCGGCAAACAGCCTGCTATCGTTATCGTCCCAACATAAACATGTTACTGATACACCYTTGTGCTCCTCTGATCGACGTAGGTACTATGATGAATAAATTAAATATATTTATAGCATGACAAATGCCAATAATGATTGACTGAATGGATGGATGAATGAGAGTAAATGAAAGGATGAATGAGTGAAGAATGAATTAATCAATCAATGAATTGGTACATATAAAGACATGATTGAAATAATGGAGCAATGAATGGATYGATGAGTCAAAAAATAAATATATTTATGAATGAACGAAAGGGAAATGAATGAAAAGCGATATACTTTGGGTTTGTCTCTAGTCTTTGATCCAATATCGACAACCATAACAATTCCAGTACTAAAAAAAATATTAAACAAAATTAATWTACTTTAAACAGTATATATTTACACAGAAGAAAAATAAAACACAATTTAATTACCTGGTTGCAAAGCCTAGATAGTTCTTTTCTTTAGCAAAGCAGACTTTCGTTATTTGACCATCCTGCAATAGATATCATTGTATTATTGATTATCAGTAATTAGTCAGTCAATTGAAATGATAATTTACAGCATATTTTGTTAATTTTCTCGAATCAGTGAGACAATGAGGAAGTATGACATTGCTTCCTTTATGCAATTAAATTCATTCATCCGTTCTTCCATTCATTCAGCTCTCCCATCCATCCATTCATACATTTATCCATCCACTTATTATTCAGCACAGAATTCATTTATACATTTGCCAATGTCACCATATTATAAGCTATATTCAATACTATTTATTCATATTCAATATTATTGTTGTTATTAACCAATAATACCTTGGTAGCAATCAACCTAAAATACTCCAAAGTTTTTCTATAGTACAAATACAACCCTCCTGAAGAAGCCCCAACAGCAATGAACTTCTTACCAACAGACAGACAATTGTACTGCAACAAAGAAGAAATGTTGTATGTAACTTAACTTAAGTCTTAAATGAAATCAAAAAATGAAAAGATTAGCTAGAATAATAATTAACATAAAGTAATTCCTTTTTTTGTCACTGACTACTAAAGATTATCTAAACGTAGTAATAAGTAACACTAATTATTTCAAAAATACATGAATGGAGGAATTCACGATCGAAACTTTTAACTTTCCAAATGACATGCTGAAGCTTGCACTGTGAACACTCCTTCTTGACGAAGTCCTTGAAAAACATACTAGTTTACCTTAATCCTAGAAGATGCTCTTACAGCGCCGTAGATATCTTTTAGAGAGCCCATTTCAACAAGGAAAACTCCATATTCTCCAAGAACTTTTAAAAGTTCTCCACCTCCGCTTTCTGCCGCCATGTTTGTTTTCTTTAATGAGAGACCGAAGAGAGACCTGGGAACAAAACTTGTATTCGGAGTTTAATCGTGAAGTATTCGGAAAACAAAATTTTAACAAAAGATATTTTCCTTTTTGAAGGACTACTTGCTCAYCTTTTTTTATAAGTTTACTCACTTTTTTTGTAAGATTATTTCATCTTTTTATTAGCCGAAATCTTATAACTCGTAAATAAGATTTTCTTAATGAATTTACGAAAGATTCACGAATCTTAAACGACAGCTTCCGACTTGTCTTGTGATGTCTTCGTGACGCTTCACGTGCTAAAATCACATGACATTTCAACATAAAAGCGACTGAGACTTGTCGCTTCTTTCTTCTCCTTTCAAAAATTCCTCGATCAGAAGTTTGAAAGAAGCTTGATGAAGATGAAATCCTTGGTCGCTTTGTTGCTTTTTGTTAGTCTTTCTCAAGGCCTCGTAAGGTAAAGTTTTGTAAGAAATTTAACTTAATTTCTGTTTGCGTGCTCTGTATTGAAAGAGACAGTTGCATTGTAAGCTTACGTCGAATGAAGTTTCTCATTGTTTTACATTCGATCTATGTTATTCAAAGTTGCTAATTGCTTTCTGCACTGTTAGTTTTTACAAAAGTCAGCTGTTAACATAGTATTTGTAGAAATCGTATTGAATTGAAAAAAATCTGTGACCGCTCCTGCGAGCGATGCTGTAGCTTTAATATCTCTTTCACGAATTTTCATTTTGTTCATACATAACCTCGGGAACGCATGGGTAATTTTCTGAAGGAACAAACGACAGAAGATTACCCCTGGGTTTCCGAGGATGCAAATTTTCATTTGTCAAAAAAATGCGAAGTTTTAATAGTTGTGCATCCTCATGTGCTTTGATTACTATAGGCTTTTAAAGGATATCAGATTTCATCTCCTTTTGCAATAGTCACTGCTTGATTTAAAACTCGTGACTTGTGACTTGTTTAATTAAGCTAAACTGTGGTAAACTTCTATCGTCAACACAAATAAAGTAAACACGAGTATAAACTTTTTGAAACCTCTTTCTGAGCTCCTGTTTTCATCCCTTCATTTTATTCATTCATTTTATTTTACTCTTGAAAAAGAAAAAAATGAAGTTTCTGACAAATCTCTTGTTACTATGATATAGAATTCCATTACACAAGATGGATTCCATGCGTAAGAAACTAGCAGAAGTTGGTATCTCAGCAGARCAAGTGTACCAAAAAACCAAGCTWAACAGGTTGGGAAAATACAGAGGCGAAGCACCTGAACCACTGACTGACTATATGGACGCACAGTACTTTGGTGAAATTCAGATTGGGACACCCGGACAGACRTTTAAAGTAGTCTTTGATACTGGATCATCSAATCTATGGGTTCCTTCCAAAAAATGTTCCTGGTCAAACATTGCATGYTGTAAGTAATGGTTAAAGAATCATAACCACCCGCCGTACCTTGCGAACTGAAGCGCTATTTTAGGTGGACACGAAATTGGCAGATTTGTAGGATTTCTTAAAGTGAGCGCAAATCGTCTTCCGTCCTTTCAGTTTGGACAKAAATACCTTTAACTAAGTACCTCACAGGTACTATCAATCTATAATTTATTGTATGCTTGACGCATTTAAACGTATGTAAACAATAATACGAGCGCGCAAAGGTACGACGGGTGGTTATGATTCTTTAAAGAAATGCCAAGGCCACTGTTACAATGAATATACTAAGAACATTTTTATGTTTGCAGTGCTTCATAACAAATATGATTCCAGCAAATCGTCCACATACAAAAAAAATGGAACAGAGTTTGCTATTAGATATGGCAGTGGAAGTCTGTCTGGGTTCCTAAGCACAGACACAGTATCGGTAAGAACAACTTTTTTTTWAATTTTTGACAAATTTACATGGGTAATAACCCCTCAAAACAACGRAAAATCATTGATTTTTGACATAAATATATTGGGCTCACCTCACTAAATGCAGTTAAATCATAGATTTTCAACAAAAAATCATTTTCTGCACACATTTGTACATTTCTTTCTCATCTCTTTCATCTGTATTTTAGTGCTCAATTTATTTTTCCATCCATTCATTCTCTAATGCATTCATCCATTTATTATTCCCATCCATCCATTATATATCGGTAGGTTGCAGGTCTCAGTGTCAAAGATCAGACGTTTGCAGAAGCTCTGAAGGAGCCAGGTGTAACGTTTGTTGCTGCACGGTTTGATGGTATTCTTGGAATGGGGTACTCAACTATTTCTGTGGACAAAGTTGTCCCTGTTTTTTATAACATGGTGGCTCAGAAGCTGGTCCCATCAGCTGTGTTCTCATTCTACCTCAACAGGTAAAAGCCACAATTCTTGGCGTGCAAGTTACATCATCACCACCTTGTTCAATGAAAATCACAAAGCATTCCACATTAGTTTCTCTTGTTCATGCATTCATCCAACATTGCGGCGTTATCTTTGTTCTTTATTTCTCAGAGGATTTCTGGTCATGTGGTTGCACATGAAGAATAGTAGGAGCTCAGACTTTTGAAATCAAGCCATAAACAAAATTTGCTTTTTCCTTTTTTTCTGCAACTAACAGGGATGCTTCTAAGACACCAGGTGGAGAGCTTATCTTGGGTGGGAGTGATCCAAAGTATTACAAGGGAAACTTCACCTACCTCACTGTCACCAAGGAAGGTTACTGGCAATTCAAAATGGATGGGTAAGAATGGGATTAATGAATAGATGGGAAATTGAAAAATGGGAAACTTAGGTGAATGGAAAAAAAACAAAGTTTAATATAACATCATTAAAATGTGTATGGATGGGAAATTGAGAAATGTGAAACTTAGAGGAATGGGAAAAGAACACAGTTCAATAGAATGTTGATGAAACTTCTTATGGATGGGAAGTAAACTAAAGCAAAACTGGATTAATAATAAACTGGATAACAGCATGAAAGTGAAATATATGTAGTTGAGTATAGTGGAGTGAATGGGAAATAAATGGATGGGAAATVAGATACTTTGTTTAAGTTTCATTTATCCTGTTGCAGTGTCAATGTGAATRGATCTAAATTCTGTGATGGTGGTTGCCAAGCAATTGCTGACACAGGAACATCCCTCATCGCTGGCCCAACAGCAGAGATCACAAAACTAAATACTCTGATCGGAGCGACCCCACTTGTSGCAGGAGAGGTACAATTCAATGTTAACTTGATGATTATTGTTAATACATAATAGAGCTTTTTTAATTATTATTATTTTACATAACACATCTAGGGCTTTAAAACTGCCCAAAGCTTAGAATCTAAATTCAAGAAAATAAATAATGTGTTTTAAAACAAATGTTTTTGCTTCTAGTACATGGTTGACTGCACAAAGATTTCTAGTATGCCAAAAATAGACTTCACACTTAGTGGCAAAACATTCACGTTGACAGCAGAACAATATGTATTGAAGGTAAGATGATTACATTTTGATGTGAAAATGTAAAAATATATAAATATACAAATAATTTATGTAAAGCTAAATTGCTTTCAGAGTGCTCAATAGTTCAATAACTAGGCAAATAACTCAGCAAAAAGGCATAGTACTATATACTTTCGTACCACACAGATATTATGCAGCATTCGGCTGTTTATTTGACGAGTGCCGCACAATTTCTGTGTGGTACGAAACTATATAGTAATAAACATGCCTTTTTGCTTATTTAGTGTCTCGTAAATCAAATATGCAAATATATATAATTCAATTAATTGCATTATTTGTATTTATCCTTTTTGTTCATGTTTAATCTTTTCATATCATTTACAGGTGAGTGCTTTGGGTAAAACAGAGTGTCTTAGTGGCTTCCTTGGCCTTGATGTCCCTGCCCCAATGGGACCTCTGTGGATTCTGGGAGATGTATTTATTGGCCCCTACTACACCGAGTTTGACTTGGCTCATAACCGAGTCGGATTTGCAGAAACTGTGTAGATGTAGAAACATTATGCACACTGCCAACACTTAATCTATGAATCAATACTGAAATCATTAAGTGAGATATTTTCTGCAAATAATGAACCTTTAAATCCGGTGACCAGGAAGAAGTCGCAAAATGCACTCTTATTTCATACAAAAGTTCCTTTCGAAATGTTAAAAAAAAGAAAGACACAAGAAGCAAGTACATGTAAGACCTATGTCTGTTGCTCGTTTTAGGACAAATTGGGTGTTTAGTTTCTCATACTTTTGTCCACCTGGGTGTCATATAACATTAAGTTTAAATACTATACAACAGCGCCGTAGCCAGAGGAAAATCTGAACCGAGGCACTTTATGCGACCGGCGGAAGCGGTCGTATCTAGGGGGTTCGCTGGCATGCTTCCCCGAAACATTTTGAAATTCAGACACTCGGAAACGTGATTTACAGCGTTTTGCCAAGCATATTGTGACTTTTTTTATCTTACACCATTGATCGAACTTTTTTTATTTTGGATACGAATTAAAGCTGAAACTCGATAAAATTTTACCGAGGCAAGTGCCTCGCTTGCCTGATCGTAGCTACGGCGCTGTACAAACACTGAAGACAAGCTGTTACATATGAATATAGTGGCAGTCTAGCGTTTTGTTAACCTGTATGCTGTAAGTTGTACTTTAAAGTTAAGCAGAGTTGTTGTTTTGAGCAGAGGACAGCTGCTTTGCAGAATTAGTTAATAGTTATTATGGTTTCCTGTGATAATTATTTTTTAGGGTTTCTTTTGTTGCATTTTGTACTAGATAGATTTTGTTGCATTTTGTGTTGACATTTTTTATTAAAAATTATTAATAAAATCACCATGTAACAATTCATATCTGGTTTTTTTAAAGAATTTTCATCAGCCAGTAAGGGATAAACTAATCTGCCCTTGGACCATAGATGATTAACCCCTTTCTCTGCAATACTTGACAACTATCGGAAGTATAATGTCAAGTTGAGGATAATCTATTCTGTGAAAGCTATTGGTCTAATAAATGAATGTGGTTGATAGGTGTACCTTATTGAAGTTCTGTTCAATACAAGAGCTTGAAATTCAAATTCTACATTTGCTTTGGCCCCTGGGAGAGGGGGAGGGGGCTTCGGGGTAAAGGTACGGGGATGCTCGTCGGAAATTTTCAAAAGGACACCTAAAAGATCCCGGATGTCATGAAAAAAGGGCGTGTATGACTGATTTTTAACCCCTAAGAGATTGCACAACGATAATTGTTAAATTAAATCAGTTGCAATGATAAAAACGCAGACGAAAATCAATATATAGCGCTCTTTCTCTTCTTTTCCGACACCCTAAGAGATTGCAGAAAATGCAAATTTCTAGAAACTTGGCACCAGGATTCCCAATCACGGATTTTGACGAGCATCCCCGGTATTTTTACTCCGGAGTTCACCCCTGGCCTACTTTGGCCTTTTCACTTTTTGTCGTTTTTGTGACGAAAGGCCTTATGGGACCTCTCGTCACTGTCATCGAGGTGGGCGGACTGCACTGTAACCATCCACATGTAGCAGGCGTTCCTTGCGARTCCTTGAAATGTTTTTAAAAAGTTGAAAAAGAAAAAATTTATAAAGGAAAAAAATAACAACGGCAAAGAAAAAAGAAGAAAGAAAACTAAAGAAGAAAAGAAAACAGAAAAAAAAGAAAAGAAACAATGAAAAGAGAACCAGGATTCGAACTCAGGACTTTCAATTCAGCAAAAGATGCACCCCCCGGAATACATAAGAAATAGTGAAAATAAAAAAACTAAAAAGATGGGACGATTCCCCCGAGACATTCTATGAAGCTGAGRCGGCGAATCGGCTTACGTTACGGTTAGAGATTTCGGCCCTTCCACGCTATCCCGAGTGAACATAAAACTTAGTCTTAACCAAAAGGCCAGGGAGTGAGGGGGTAGCCGCCCACTAGAGCATACCTTTAGCTACCCTCTTAGACCATCGTACTATGAAGACACTTATAGATATCTGATATCTAATTGGGGTAGTCTATTCGGCGAAGTTCTATGCTAATATATGACGTCACCAAAATCCTTAGGGAGCAGCGAGCCAATCAGAGCCCAGCTCAGGAATTATTCAAACGATACAGGGTTTGCATTATCATTCTTCAGTGGATTTATTATTTGATGGGGGTGGGCATGGGTGTAGTCTCCTTGCAGCCGTGTTTAGTTTCGGTCACGCGTCACGCAAAGGATGGGTGCTGAGTGCTGTTTGGCGGCCGAATACCGATGTACTCGCCGGTAATGTTGACGGCTTTCACCGAGCTGTTCAATTGTCGTTACTGTTTTTCTAATCATCACAGGAAAAGGTGTACARTTCTTATATCAGACAGACATCAAAAGTATTCGGATGAACACCACGAAAAAAATATCTTGAAATTCCTAACGTGAGTGGTTTAGGCTAACATAGCTAACAAATACTAGCTGTTGCCAAAGATTTGCCTGGATTCACCGAGCAATTAAAGGACTTAAAGACCTCATGAAACTCTAACATTACACTCGAACGTTCCATATAATATTGTCGTTCTTTATGATATGAGTTTACAAAAGGGTTAATATTAATTATCGAAATAATTATTAAATGTAAATATAGTGAATGTTAACAATTGCAGAGGATTAATGAATAATCCGAAAGATAATGAATGGTAAAAAAATCTTAGCAATCTTTGAGCTTTATTACAAAACTATAATCAGGCGAATTGTACAGTATATAGTTTGAATGATATAATTAATTTTATCAAAGAAAACGTTCGAGAATTTGATCATGAGTTTAATTATTATAAGTCAACAGATACAGAAAGATGTCTTTGACTACACAACTACAGCTAGATTAAAGCTCTAATGAATCCATGTCGTGATAAAAATCCCTTTTCGGTCATTTTTCAAATCTTTCAGATTGATATGTTTACTGTAGGCAGGAACACAGGGCACCCTGCGTCAGGCCCTCACGGGAGGCGGGAACCGTGATCAACCATCACAATAGGTTTTTTAGGGCCCCTGGGAATCACCGGCCCTTGAGTTTTTATAGGCCACGTTCAATTTCCTTGCAGTGCATTACAGATAACAGAAAACATTGTGTACTGAAAATAGTGTATTCGAAGTTACTGAGTCACATGCAGTCCTCGAATGCTATTTTTTTATTTCTTTTTTATTTCTTTTTTCATTTTCATTAGTTTTTTTTCCTTTTTTCATTTCTATTCTCTTTACATCTTTCTTTTCACTTTTTTCTTTGTCAAAAAATTATTTATTCGTTCTAGTCTCCTCTATCCCCTCGTCTCAACTCGGAGTGGCCTAGTAACTAGCTATCTGAAACCTTCCAAGATGGCTCAAGCTGGAAGGAGGAGTTTGTCAACTTCCGTCAAATAGTGCCCACAATCTCCCTGTTTCCATTGCCCGATTTCTTTACAACTCAACATGGGCAAAGAACATGACCTGGTCAACGCATCCAAGACTGGAAATGTCTCTCAGATTGAAAAAATATTGGGCCAGAGAGGAAAAAAATCGGGTCTACAGAGGTATGCCGTGTATTAATAGTACCAGGGTGTGTGTCGCACTCATTTGAGGGATAAATCGTCACTGCGATTGATAAATCCTTGTTCTTGTATTTTAGCATTATCGTAAGAAGTACAAACCCTAATTATCAAGATGAAATGGGATATACACCACTACATTACGGTTCTCTCAACGGTCATAGGTAAATCTCGACGTAGCTCAGTGTGTTGGCATCTTTCCTCTGTTCTTAAACTTTATTTTCTTAACTTTTTAGGGCTATTTAGGTCTTTATTTATCTAGTTATCAATAGACTTAGTTTACTTAAGATCATTGTGTGGTATTGTTTCCGTAGAAACGTAAGATAACTTATTTTAAAGACAGGAAATGTAAATCAAGACAAAGTGATGAATTTCTTGTGATGCACATGATCAAGATATCATATTTGACGTGCGCTGACAGTGTCTAAATTTTGTGGCTTTTTATAGTAATGAAATTAGCTTTAAAATCGGAAGTCCAGACACATGAATGAAAGGCTGTTTCACTTGTCCTAAATAGTTATTATCGGAGAATGAATTAAATAAATAACAGCTGTTTAAAAAGTAGGGTATTTTAAACGTAAAGCTGAATAAGCTTAATTGTGTTTGTAGTTCAGTGATCTTGTTCCAAGTCGTATTAAGACATCCATATTTGCATCTTTTGTTTATTCCTTATATTCCTATTTTTAAAACTTTTGAAGGAGTTTGTTTATAAATAAAAAAAAACTCTCCCTAATGCACAATGTTTTGGTTCGAGTCATGCTTCATTGATCTTATAATTTCCTATCGATAAACTTTATTTTTTTGGGTCACTTTTCTGTGTTGAGTTCTGACAATACCTAACCAACTTGTGTGCCAGTGAATTTAATAAGTAAAAAAGGTTAGATTATTGATAAGTTTTAACCAAATTATTACACAACAAGTCAGTTAACAATTATTTCATTGATTAGAATTAAAACAATTCAACTTAACGTTGATATTCTATCCTTTTCAGGGCAGCTGTGGAACTCCTGCTCAAGTATGATGCATCAGCCAACATTCCTGATCACTCAGGTAATGGCTTGAAGTGCTATGTCATGTTGCAAGATGGTACATGGTCTAAATGCCATTTTGTTTTATCTTTTAGGGAACTATCCATTGCACCTTGCAGCATTTAATGGCCATGCAGATGTCTGTCGTGTTCTTATCAACTCAGGCCCCTCAAGAGCCAAAGTCAATGAACAGGTACATATCTTTGATAGTATTTTTTTGAACTTTAAAGTTACATGCAATTTAGCCTGTGTAGTGACAAACGGATGTAGACAGACTACAAGCAGTTGTAATGTATTGTCAAATATTTTGTCAGTCATTCGTTACTGTCAATTCTCAATCTTTTTTTTTTTGTGAAAGAAAACTCTTTTGCTTATTCATTTTGTTTTGTTTAGAATGGAACTGAAGACACGGCTATGCATTCTGCTGCTCAGTCAAAGTCATCTCAAGTAGTTGCTGTCTTACTTGAGGTAAAAATAGTCSTCTTCACTGTTTTGTAAACTGTTATGAAAGCTAATGGTGTCATTGCGTTGGGGCGAGATTAACAGTGAGCATGCAGCGATAGTAAGCTTCTGTCATAAGGTATCTATCATTTGCATCTAGATCTCATTGAAGTCTCGATCCCTTAAAAAAGAAAGGCACAGCTTTTAAAATGGTTCAAGGAACTATGAAATACTTGCTCTTGTACTTAATGGTGCAAACACCACTTTCAGTAAATATATAATTATTGATTTATTTTCCAACAGAACCATGCAGATCCTTTCATAAGAAATTGTCGTAAAGAATCACCATTGGATTTGGCTGCACAGTATGGACGCATTGAAAATGTAAGTCAACAGTACAGTGCAGACACTGCATAATATTCTTGAAATTATTAGCTAACAAGTTGTACATGTAAATGCAAGTTTCTTACTAACAAATTTATGTTAGAACTTGCCTTTATTTGTTCATTTTGTTCATTAAAATTTACGTCCAAATTGTGAAGTTTATGTTATAATGTACTATAAAATCAAAATCTTGCTTTTGTTATAGGTCAAATTGTTGCTAAGTTACCATCCAAATTTACTCCAAAACAATGTAAAAACTCATTCTCCCCTTCATCTTGCTGCACGGAATGGACATATCGATGTTGTCTCTAATCTACTGGGCTGTGGAATGGCTGTTAATTTTCAGGTTTGTTAGTTATGAATGTGGTGGTATTGCCAATTGCAATGTATTACATTTTTGCATTTTTGCCATCTGTCCATTTATTTTTTCATGGGTTCATCCATCCCATTCATTTTTTTTCATTTTCCCACTATCCATCAAATATATTTAAATTAGTTCATTCTTCCATTGTTTTTCATTCATTCATTTATCCATCCATTTATTCCTGTATTTTTCTTCTTTCCGTCATTTCGCTTTCTGTTTTGATACAAAGCTTCAACTGTTTTTCAAAACACTGCTCAAATACTTGAAGCAAAGTGTAATGCAATCCTATTTCAATCTGAAATTAAAATAATCAGTGCATTTTGTGTTTATTGATACAAAATGGTATAGATTGARCATCTAAAATAGTCTACAAATCTATCAATTTCTCAGTGTGATACGGGGACAGCTTTGCATGAAGCAGCTTTGTTTGGTAAACTAGATGTTTGTAACTTCCTTCTTCAATGTGGTGAGTAGCAAAATTTCCTTGCTTGTCATCTTGTTACAGTTGCCTTTTGTATTGAAGCAGGGCAGCAGTTAAGCTTGCAGTGGTAGATGATATTTGATACTGCAATGTTTTGACGACAAGCTGTTGATTGTTTGTATCCAAAGGCATCAAAATGACCTCAAGAGTCTTATTATAATTTGAAAGTGATAAATAGAATAAAAATATTTTGTGTTCGGCTTAGAAAGACAGAAAAGGAACTGCTTAAGTTAACCTTTAGCTCTGTATTTGATAATATCAGTTATTTTGTTATTATTGTAGATGTTGATATTACTGTGAAAGATAAGAATCAAATGACAGTTATGGACTTATTAATGAACCACCCTACAGCAAGGACAAAAGAAATAAGTGCTTTGATATACAGTAAGTTCATTGCTTTTGATACACACAGAATGCTTTCATTAAAACTGTGAAATGAACTCCATGTAAATGTAATGCCTTTCTGACTTTTGAGGGGGACAGGAATCCCAACAAAGGGAGGGTCACAAAGAAGACTATTAGCCGCATAATTTGCCTGGAGAAGACTGCAGAGTTTCCTATATGTACCACTTGCTTTTCTTTTGTGAATCAGAAAAAATGTGTAATAAATGTTCTGCCTGACTTTTGCTTTTAACAGATTATACTCAAACAACAAAAACTCGATCGAAGTCTGTAAAAGGAACGTCACAAAGTGTAAGGGAACAACGAATATCAGTAAGAACAGTTTTATTATACCTACGTTATTATCATACATGTGCAATATTACATATTAATGTGCTGTTTATATCACACACATTTGATATCTAAACTATCTAAACTGAAGCCTGATCTGAGTAAAAGAGATTTATTTATTTGTTACCAGACCTTACCAACTGCTAATCAACGTGCAAGTACTATTTCATATACATCGTCGTCTTATGACATGGTACCGGATCCAGGTTAGTTTGRGTAATTTATTAATGTCATCATTATCATCATCATCATCATTTTTATCACTACGGTAACCATGACCATTCAAAACATTCATATTTTATATTTTGTTCTTAGCTGATTTCTTTTGAAAAAGGTTTTTTTAAAACATATTTAAAGTGCCTTGTTTGTTCATGTTTATAGGTAGACGTGACACTTACGACACTGTACCACCACATCAACATCATCAACCAAGTGCTTATGACAGTGTACCCCCACCACAGCCAGCAACAACTTGTAAGCTTAATCAATTAACTGACTGCCGAACAACTTAGTTATTTAATAGTTATTAAAACATACAACTTTCCTTCAATCCATTTATTCATTCAGTTGTGTAAAAAGATAAATTTAACCCCATAAAAAGTAGATGATACAACTTACTGAATTTTTTGACATTAATCCTTCTGTCTTATTCATTCATCCATTTGTTTACTCATTCTTTCATCCCTTTATCTATTTAACTAATCACCCACGGCATCATCTGCTTACTCCTTTTAACAGCTGACGATGAACCAGCAAGAAGTGTAGGTGGTTATCATTTCTTAAATGCACCAGGAAGCCAAACAACATCCGTCTTAACCCCTCAACAGGTCACAGATGGATACACGATGCTGGGGGTCCCTAGTGCTGGTAAAAGTAAAGCAAATGAGGAATACTCCACAGTCAGACCAGAAGGAACATCTTCGATGTCTAGTGTAATGGCACAACAAAGATCTTTATCAGGAGGAAGATTAGATCCTTTGCCAGCTAGAGGTATGGCTTGTTGGAGTTTTATCTGAGAAATATTATTAATAACTTATTTTACTATAAAAACTTTTTTCTTCCTTACTTTCCTTATCTAATTTCTACCTTTCCTTCGCTCTTGCCTCTGTGGCTAGCTCTCCCTTTCACTCATCCTCTTTTCATTCTTTCTTTCTCTTCTTCCCTTTCTTCTTTCACCTTCATGTCTTAATATTAATAATAATAATAATCTAAGCTTATACAGCGCTTATAAAACCTTTTTCTAAGCGCAAAAAAAAAGATAAAAATTAAGGTAAAGAAAGTTACAATAGAGTTACAGATCATAAGTTTGTTTAAATAAGAAGGTTTTAAGAGCAGTTTTAAATTATCAAGTGAAGAAATGTCTCTGATTGAAGATGGAAGTGAATTYCATAGAAAAGATCTTGGTCTTGGTCTTTTTTTCTTCACTTTTGATCTCTACTTTCTTCATTGCMTCTCTCCACTACCCATATTTTACCTTCCTTTCAGAATGATTTGTATTAATTCATTGCCCATTCATTTAATTTTTATATTTTCTCTTTATCTATTAACATTTATTGTATGTTATAAGACATGGTCAGTAAAGACAACTTGGCATATTATCAAATTGAACCCCACACATCTCCYGAACCAGCATCACCAACTGAAACACCCACAAAAGCATTAGGCAACATCCCAGAATATGAATATGTACCGCGCCACCCAAGCCAACGCCCTCTTAACATTCCTGAATACGAAATCCCTCCAGCACCAATACCGCAATCATCTCAACCTGAAGGGGATTATGGTCTTATTGGGGCAATAAATACAAAACCTTCAAAACCAATACGACAATCAAGAAGAGATGTCGCAGAAACAGCAGCAAGCCCCCCTGTTTATGAGGTGCCCCCCTCCTTTAAGCAACGAGAGGAGGTAGTGGAAAATCCACCACGAGGRCCAGTTTGTCCACTTAATATTCCAAAGAGTGAATTGGAAAGGTTTGTATTGATATTTTAAAAAGGCTACATGTACTCTTCCCTGTGCAGATGACGATCTTTATCCAGTTTAAATTGAACAACAGACAAACGATATTCTTAAASCAAAAGTACATGTAAACTATGAAAAACTGTTGTCCTTGATSTTTTCTCAAATACAAAATCATGGTTTATTACTACAGGGAAGCTTTAGTACAGACAACAATAAATTATTTTAGCCTGACAGCAATTTATATTTAGCTTAATAATAATTTCACACAACCATGTTATAGGTTGGGATACACTGGTTCCAGTCCATTGGGTCCAGATTCAACTGCTCTAGCCACACAGCCTGGGTATGAGTTCATGGATCGTAAATCCCCAGATGAAGATAAAGGTTTTGAGTATGAAGTGCTGGTACCTGCAAGACAATTCGAGCCYAGAGAACCCCCAGTATCACCAGGACAATATGAGGTGGTATCCTTCCCTGCAAGGCCYATATCTGAAGGGCCACCCAGATCATCACTTGCAACGTCCCCTCCTGTATATGAAATTGCTCCTACACCTATATTGGCCCCTCARGAACACTATCCTGCATCTTCAAATRTGTCCCAAAGTCCTCCTGTTTATGAGATTGCACCTCCTCCCAGGCCTCAAATTCCWGCTAGACCTCCTCCATATAGTGTCCCTACAGCCAGACCATTACCYAATAATGTCCCACCAGCTCAACCACCACAAGATAATGTTCCATTGACAAGAACACTTCAACAAAATGTGCCTCTGATTGACGGCTTGGAGGGAAAGGAAGAGCCTGTTCTTCCTCCGCCAAGACCTGGAAATGAATACCAACATCATCRGCCCATTCAACCCATTGGAGAAGCACCAAATCAACCAAGTGCCCCKCCACCCTATGAAAAAGTGCGCCTTGAAGCTCCAAAGGGAGGAAAAATTAATCTTGAACAAGCCCCTACACCAGTTTTGCCTCCAAGGACACATTTAGGTATTGCCACATAATGTATAGGTGTTCATTATTGATTGGTTGATTTGCAAACGTACTGATGTTAATGTTTTTTAATATTATTTTCATCTTTATATAGCAAATAGCGGCATGTTCTGGGGTGTGAGGGGGGCATGTTCTAGGCTTTTGAGATGTGACAGGGTGGGGGGTTGGGAGCCAGGGTATGACGGGGGCGTGTGCTGGGGGGTTGGGGGTTGAGGGGGGTTTCATCTTGGCCAATCAGCTTACAGTTAAAGAGAATGAAGAATGCAATCAACTACAAAATTGTTGTTTTGGATTTCATCAAACAAACTGGGGTTCCAAAATCCCCCTTCCTTTCCAGTTTTTACTAGTGTTTATTATTTTAGGTGACTATTGCACAATTGATCCCAGTGCCGTTAGCCCTATGAACCCACCACCCAAAAGAGACCAAGTTAGTTCAGGGTCAAGCTTTGGTTCAATGTCAGAAGGAAGTGACACCTCTGATATCCCAGGTGTTCCACCACCAYCTGCAAGTGTTGCTGAAGCACTGGTGTTTGAAACATTAGAAAGAGGTATATAGTTGTCAATAGGAGATATGCATGGAGATATGGCGTCATTTACTACAACTACCAGAATGCTTTGCCAACTTTCTTTTGTAATGCAATTAGTGCCAATTGTTTTATCAATCTCCAAGGGGATTAAAAATCTGGTTAACAATTAAAATGCGCAATGCTCTCTGGTAGTTGTAGTAAATTTACATCATAATGCAAACAGCCTATTATTTGTTGTTGTTGTTTTTTAACTTGTCAAAATTTATATCAAGTAGCCCATTTTATGCTAACATTATATTTTTTATGTTGATATTATAAAATGATATTTTAAATGGTTTTCCTCACAAGAAAGTCAATTAATAGTTGAAAYACTCCAACATTTAGACTACAGCAGTTAACATTGTTATTGTGTTTCCAAGACAAACCTTCAASTACAGAAAAACCAGTACCAACGCCAAGAGAGAAGCAAAGCAAGGTCCCTTCATCTACTGATAGACCAGTACCTTTACCAAGAAGAGAAAGCTTAAACGACAGGCCAAAGTGGCATACCGAAAATAACCTTAAACAGGATCCATTCAGCAATCCACCAAGCAAAGAAAATAAAACAATTAAAAATAATGACAGTGATGAGAATACAAATACTGTTTTCACATCTTTACATAAGCAGTTTTCACCTCATAGTTCAAGAGAAGATCTCACAGACACTTCTAATGAAGAAAAAAACAAAAATGAAAAATCAACTCCATTACTTTATGAAAATGTATTGTTCAAGCGCAGTGAAAGCACTTCGAGAAATAGTATATCAAAGAAGCCCCAGTCCCCAGAAGTACAAACAGAAACAACAACCAAGAAAGACAATGTGGAGACTAGGACAGATTCATGGTTAAATTCTGATTTGTCAACCTCTTTAGATGAGGACGCGGAGTGGGAAAAGGTCTGTTTTTCTAATCATTACTTATGTTATTATTGTGCACCATTTCTGTGTCCCTTTGCATGTTCCCTGATAGCACAATTAGGCAGTAATTATACTATATTTTATAGATCGATCAATTGCTGCTCTCATTACAAGGAATTGAAAATCTTGGTGAACAAATGGCTGACGCCAGTAAAGCGAAAACTGTTGATGAGTGGCTCAAGGCTCTTGGTGTTGAGCAATATGAAACAGATTTAATGAACGATGGTTTTGATGACCTGGACTTTCTCGTAAGTATATAATATTTAGATACTTGTTCATTAAGCAATGGAATACCAACTCGGCAACTTTTTTCAAAATGTGTCCAAAATTTTTTGATTTGGTCTATGATACTATGTGTTGTAGTGTTCTTATGTAAGTCTATGTGGCCTCCTCAAGGGTTAAATTATTATAATTTTATTTAAGTGTATTATGTAAGCTAAATCATGACAATTGATTTTCTATATCCAAGAATGGTGGAATACTTGAAGACCAGGATCTTCTGGACATAGGAGTATCGGATCTCTCCCATAGAAAGTAAGTAACACTGTGGCATTTTATAGATCAATTTGGATAAGGGATATTCCTCCTTTTTTTGCCCATGCGGTTATTATTAAGAAATATAGATAACCAGTATTAAACTAATATGAGCTGATTTGTGTTTCTAAACAGCTGCACTTGATAAAAGGATAAAAGTTKTTAAAATGATGAGAATTAAAAAAATGGAAATAAATAGAAACATTTATTTTGTTTATAGAATAATATTAGAGGCAGTAAAGTCTTTACCAATGCCACCTCGTGTTGCTAAGCTGGAAMATCCACCAACGACAGTAGAAGAATGGTTAAAACTTATCAAGCTGACTGATTACTTGGAAGTCTTCCTTCATCAAGGGTTTGTTACAATGGACCGTGTCAAGCAGCTATGGGAAGTTGAACTAACCTCGGTGAGTTTGTAGTTWTATTGGWCCTTTTGCAGGTGATCTATGCCATCATGCATTGACACTAGTAGTGAGTGACAGCAAAGCAGCAGCTTGGAAAGGAGGCTTGCCATTATACTGTAATCTAAGAGTACAACATGAAGAATTGTTAGATKCTARTGTGCAGCATAAAGAACAGACTGATAGCTCAAGTCCAAACAGAGAAGAGTGTTTTTGTATTCTGTTTGGATAACAATGGCCTCATTACTTAATATTCTTTTTACAGGTATTAGAAATCAACTGTCTTGGTCACAGAAACCGAATATTAGCATCATTGATAGAACCTCGTAGAATGACCCTGGTTAGAAAATCACGCCAAAATGAGGTAATGGTTATTGCTTGTTTTTGTTGATATGGTCAAACTATGGTGATATGTTGTCARGGTGATGTATTTTGATAGGTTGTCATAGTGATAGGTTGTTATGGCAATAGGATGTATTTTGATAGGTTGTCATAGTGATAGGTTGTTATGGCAATAGGTYGCTATAGTGATTTAGCAGAAAGGTRTAGGACCTTACATCCTTACAYATRAACATAACCATGAAAATRTTTTGAAAATATGACATTTGTGTCATACATACAGGTTGATTCTAAGGGGAATTTTGGTCTGGATGAAAAACTTGAAGAGCTAAATGCCTTCTGCCCTGATGAAGAACCAGCAAAGGTCATCTCTTCTCTTGATGATGAAACTCTAGACAAGATAGCAGAAAATATGATCAACGATGAGGTATATTTTGACAGCATTTTTACCAATACTATACCTGCATCTTTGAAATAAATATGCACAAATTGTACCTCAGTAGCCAAATATACAATATCAATTTAGTTATATGAAGTGTTTCCATTGTTTTCTTTTATAATTGTTTAGGCTTTGAAGAGGAAAACAGTGCAGAGAAAAAGGCAAAATCAATGGCGGCATGAGCCTGAAGTGCTGCTCAAAGGAAGTGTTGAACACACAACACAGTATCTTGGCTCACAAACAGTGAAGGAGATTGTTGGTATCAAGTCTACKGTAGATGCATGTCGGAAAATGAAGGTCAATAAGTGCAGTGAATTAAAGTCTAGTCAATGCTMTTTCATGTTTTCATATGCCATCTTCTATTACTATGGTCCTCATATTGCGTAATGACATTGTGTTCTTGGCAAGACTGACTTTGATATGGTTTTTTCATCTGTCAATAGCTTTCAACAGCCAAACTACAAAAAATCCCATCTGTGACTCTATCAGTTTCTGTGAATGGCATCAAGTTTATTGACTCACGGACAAAGGTATGACCAATACAATGATGATGACAGTGATAGCACAGGGCGCCCAGGCTCAACAGGCAATGGTTGTGTTGCTTTCACGGTGGTGTCAAAGTATTAATTGCGAGGTTCGCGGTTCGAGCCCTCATGAAGCCGTAAATTTTTTCTACTTCATTTCTTGAGACTTTTCTAGACTTTCTCTCTTTTTTCTTTTTTCTTTAATACATGTAAGTATAAACATTGTGAGCAACGCAATACATTGGCACCGCCGTGAAAGCAACACAACTGTTGAGCCTGGGCACCCTGTGATGATAGTGAGAATTATGAGGATGTCTATCAATTGTTTATCACTTTGTCAGAAGTATTGTCGGGTAAACTAGTTATGTATTAGTCAGAAAAATGAAAAACAACAAGGACACTAGATATCGTTATGTAATTTGTTTTTTAAAGATGGTAATTGCAGTAATAATGAGTGCACAGTGCTATTTTTATTTAATTTATTTAAACAAATTACTTTTATCTTTCCCAAGTTGGTGGTSAGYCAYCACCAAATGAATAATGTGTCATACATCACTCAAGACCCTGAAGACCGACGAGTGTTTGCTTATATCGCAAAGGATGCCAAAGTAAACCGTCATTACTGTCATGTGTTTAGAGTTGAAGATGTGGTAAGCATGTGTTGCTTTATTCATATATCTACATGTATCCATTCATCCATATTCATTCATTCATTTTCTAAATGTTTTTGTTACAGATTTTATCAGATGAAATTACAATGACTATTGGCCAAGCTTTTGAGGTAAGATGAATTGACAACTGGTTAGACTTTCTTAAAAACAGAAAGTGATCAACGTTTTCKTTTTTTGCTTCAATAGCTTGCCTATGATCAATTTGTGCAAATACAAAGTTTCATGAAGTCACAAAAGAGCTGAGAACATTCACAGAAAATTCYATGAATAACCCRGCTGAAGCATCAATGAAGGAACAGGTCTRGAATTTGACGAATGACTAAATTAAGATAAAGAAGAATTAGCTTGTTATTATATGTTGAGACTTRGGAACCTTATGCCTATATATGCAGTTGCTTCTTTTTAGGCTCTTGACAGACTAGAGCTCAGGGCTAATACTGAGATATGGCCTTATCTCTATCTTACAGAATAGATGAATATTCTCTATTCAGGAGCTCAAATAATATATTTTGTTTATTAAAATGTAGTAATTAAAAATTATCAGGTTAATAACTAGCATTATGTTTTATAGTTTTTTATACATAATACACAGCAAATGATAGCAAGAATAAAGTTATAGACTTATAAAAGTGGGATTGATTAWAATAATCTCAATCATAGATTGCAAGTTGTAAATAGCCTACAACAACAACAAACTGCCCAGTAAGTTTACATATGCRGGTCATACTTTAATTCTATAGAATTACAATATTAATAAAAAGTATTTTTATTTGAATATCTGTGTTAATTTCCTCATTTGGGCTTGCTGTGGCGTGACGTAAGTGTGGTTATCCAATCAAAATGCTTGATAAACATGACGTCACTCGGGAACAAAATGACGTGAGCGGGTAGCTGTTGTACTTGATTTCAAGAAACTAATTATTTCCGATATTTCATGTTTTTGTCTACGCAAAAATGGCCTAAAAAGCGCCATTCAAGTGTGAATGGAGTTCTCTTGGCATTGATGCTGCTGATGTTTGTTTAGTGCTTCTCGGAGATACGTTTCGTCGCGTTTTCTATGTTGAAAAGCGTCACTTTGTTAACTGGAAGTTCGTGCTCATTTCACTTGAACAAACCGCTTTAAAAAAAACTGATCGTAAAAGACACAGAAAATATATTCTTCAAATCATGGCGGGTAATAATTCTACCGATAGCTCCACAAGTTCTCACGAGGACCATGAAGTTCATTCGTCGCCGTACGCCATATTATTCATCTTTTCGGTGTGTGCACTTGGGGGTAAGTTAAACGTTTGTCGTTTTTGTTGTTGTGTTTTTTGTTGTTGTTGTTGTTTTTTTTGTTTTTTTTGTTTTTTTTATGTCTTATTAAGCTTACGTTTAAAATCAAGACACTTACATTCTTCAACTTATGATTCTAATGTGTGTTTATAATGTTGACATTTTTAAGTTCAGCTTACATTAAATTTTTTGTTTCTTGTTTTTAGCTGTTGTTCGTCAAGTGATGAAAAAATGGCCGATTCCTTATACCGTCGTCCTCATTATACTAGGAGCTTGTTTTGGAGCAATTTCTGGAAACATTGCTTCAGTTGAAGTGTAAGGCGATATCTGAAACGCTAGGCATTTGGTTGTAGACCGTCACTCTGGCTGGAGTGCCTGAGTGACTGGGAAAAATGAAGATATATCTTTCTTGTGCATTTTTGTTTGTAGGTATACATCCATGGCCAGTAACGACCCACATCTCATCTTAACAACATTCCTTCCAGTCCTACTATTTGAGTCCGCTTTTGCAATGGATGTTCATATTTTCTACAAATTATTTTGGCAAATTATAGTCCTTGCAGTGTTTGGTTTGGCTATTGCTACACTTCTGTCTGGTGTCATGGCCAATATGGTATTTTCTTACAACTGGACGTGGTTTCAAGCATTGATGTTTGGTGCAATAATAAGCGCAACAGATCCAGTTGCAGTGGTGGCATTACTTAATGACTTAGGTAAGCTTGGAAATGATCATCCTCTTCTTAACTTGAGTGATTTTCAATGCTATCTTCATCATCCCCAGGGTCTGTGCMGGTTAAATCYTTGAAAAGTGCTTGAATTGAAAACTCGTTTTCAAGGGCACTTGAAACTCCTTGAAAATTTGACAATTTCAAAAAAGGCCTTGAAAACTCCTTGAAAAAGATAGATCTCTATCACAAAGCGATAGCGATCTCGGAATTATTCTGTTTGGTTGCAGTTGTGAGGTGAGAATGTGCAATTAGAATGATTATGATGTTCCTTGAAAATACAATTTTGGTCCTTGAAAAGTCCTTAAATTTCTTTTTTGATACTCTGCATGGACTCTGATCCCAATCATTCCACCATAACAACCTTTATAGATTAATAAATGATTATGGTGATTGATCAAGATCCTTATCATCAGCATAATCATTTTRACCATCAGATTATTAATCTTAATTTAATGTAGTCATCATGCTGTGACATCCATTATAACTGTTAGGTGCATCCAAGCAACTTGGGACAATAATTGAGGGTGAATCTCTGTTGAATGATGGAATGGCAATAGTGTTGTACAAGATTTTCTTCAACCTTTCATTCAGTTCTATGACAGGTTTGTCACATACTTTCATGATTTTCCAYCTTATTTCTTTCATTATTTCRTTTCTCRTGGTTTCTGTTTCTAGCAACTGAGATTGGTCTTTATTTCCCACGTGTGGCAATTGGTGGCTTTGTTTTTGGTCTTGTAGTTGGTAAAATTACTGTATTCTGGCTTCAACATGTATTCAATGATGCTCTAGTAGAAATCACCATAACACTTGCATCAACATATCTAACTTTCTACATYGGAGAAGAAGTATTAGGCATCTCTGGTGTGCTGGCTGTAGTGATGCTTGGCATAGAGATCAACTCTCAGAAGTCAAGTATCAGCCCTGAAGTTGAGGTYTTCCTACATAGGTTAGTGTGGTATACTGATTCTGGTACTTCTTATCCAAAAACAGAAGATCAGACATTCAAAAAGCCTTKCTTCACTAACTTTTAATTTTCAAAAGTCTTTCATTCCCACACGGGAGGTTGCAGCARYCATAACCTCTCCCTTAGATCCAACCCTGTCCCTTCATTGTCATTTCTTTTTTCAGGTTCTGGGAGATGCTTGCATACCTTGCAAATACTCTTATCTTTACAATGGTTGGAGTTGTTATCATGGAGAAATCACTCAGTACTTTAGAGACTTATGATCTTTTCCTTATTATTGTGGACTACTTTGGAATTACTGTCATCAGGTAAAAACATGCAGGATAAATAATGACATTTGATAATTGTTTTCAATGTTTAATCCCTATTGATTGATTGATAATTGTTTGCAATGTTTGATGCCTATTGATTGATTGATTGATTGTGTGCTTGATTGATTTCAGATTGATTGATTGATTGATTGATAATTGTTTGCAATGTTTAATCCCTATTGATTGATTGATTGATTGATTGATTGATTGATTGATTGATTGATTGATTGATTAGCTGATTGCTTAGTTGGTTGATTGATTGATTGCGTGCTTGCTGGATTGATTGATTTCAGATTGCTTAGTTGGTTGATTGATTGTTCACACAACTTTATCTGAATTTCTTCTGATGTTATTTTCTCAACAGATCTCTTGTGATTGCGTTTTTCTCTCCTATACTGATGAACATAGGATATGGTTTTACATGGCAGACAGCCGTAGTTGTTTCATGGGGAGGTCTACGCGGTGCTGTTGGTCTTGCCTTGGCCTTACAGGTGTATATTGACCATGCTGAAGTGGGAGATAAGGTACAAACCATTAGAAATGATATCGATGGGTGGATGGAGGGACGGATGAACTTGCTAGCAGCCTGTCAGAAAGTCAATGACATCCTTCTGAAAATAGTTACAATGTACTTTTGATCTCTCTTCAGGTTCTGGTCCACACGGCTGGTATATGTCTGATTACTTTACTGGTTAATGCCACAACTATGGAGAAACTCCTCGATCTGATGGGCATGAGTGAGATCTCCGACTCCAAGAAGATTGCCATGACAAATGGTGTCCGAAGAGTCAAAGAAAGCAACACCAGCACTCTTACTATGCTTAAAGCCGACCGTTTTTTAGCCGACGCAAACTGGACTCTTGCGCAAAAGTTCTGTGATATCAAAAACCCTTACGTTGAGCTTGACAGTGATACTGAGGTATGATTCACTCTGAAACACAGTTTGCAAAGCGTTTTCAGGAAAAACAGTTAATTTATGGGACGCACACTAGAAGTTTTAGGCGATATTTGTTGGCAAAAGTTGCATATTGTAAATCCAACCTTTAGGTAGTYGTGGTGAGACAAAAGTTGTACATTTATCCCTGCAGTGTGACGACACAGAGACGTCAGTACTAGTACGTCATAGCACGTGTCCAAACTGTGAAGCAAGCGTACCAAACGAGCCTTCTCCCAAAGAATTCGCTGAAATGGCTGAAGATGGACGAATTCGGATGATAAAAGCACAGAAGGTTAGCTACTGGAAGCAGTTTGAACATGGCATGCTATCCCGTGAAGCAGTRCAGTCTTTGAGTAACCTAGCGGACACAGTCTCAGACATTCCCGATAGAATTATCCTGGCATCAGACCTTAGCTCATATTGGAGGGTACCGACATATCTTCAAAAACTGGTAAGTTGGTCATGTTTTCTATTGGTACCTTTTAATGAATAATTCAATTATTATTCGATTTTTGCAGTTGGATCTCAAAGTCGAGCTACGCGTATTTTACAAGTAGTTTTCAGGARCGAGTAGAGTGCTCGCACTTAAAGCGTGAAACAAATAGTACTAATTACTACTAAATAGTGTTGATTATACAATAGGAAACAAAGGAATTTGTATAACTTATCACCTATTYTGTAGTAATTATATTCACGCATTTAGTGTGAGCACTCTATCAAGAATGTATTTCTATGATGAAGTATTTTTAAAAATCTTATTTCTGTTATTTTCGCAGCGAGACAAGCTGGAGACTATCAAGAAATCTAAGGACTATGAACTTGATCGTTCACCAAAAAATCGAATCCAGTATTTCTTCTACATGGTTGCTAAGCATGTCGCGTTTGACGCCATGATGAATGTCATCATTTTAACCAACTTTATTCCTCTCATCCTCGAGCTGTCGGCTGATGATGATGCTCCTTAYCTTGATATATTGAGGACTGTTAACTACGTGTACTGTTCTATTTACGTTTTGGAGGCTWTTTGGAAGGTACAGACATTGTTACTGAATAAATAAATAAATAAATGGATGAATGAACAAATGGGAAATAAAAAGGAGTCCGTCTGTATTATCATCTAACAAAATGAATAGAGACATTTTCAACCGTGTGTGGAACAATTACTACTAGTCAGTGTTTAATAGTAACTACTAGTGTGTAGTAGGCTACCAAAAGGCAAAATCAAAACCGTGTTTGCCTAATTAGTTTGTCGCATGTCATAAGTTAAACTATTTGGAGCTAATAGGGGGTAATAGTATTTAATACTACAATTCCTATTAAATTCACAGAGGGATGAAAATGACTCTACTTTATACTAATCAGTTATTATATCATTTGTAGACGTGTGCGTTCAGAACGCATTACTTCAAAGACTATTGGAATCTGTTTGATTTGTTCATCGTCGTTGTGTCCCTGGTTGATATCATTATAGACCGATTGACGGACAATGGCACAGGTGGCTTTTCACCATCTGTACTGAAAGTAGCGCGCGTTTTTCGCATCTTGAGGATTGGCAGGTTGCTCAGACTTATTAGGGTAAGGATAAACAAAGCAATCAACCCATCAATCAACCAATCAGTCATTAGATCATTTAGACCAATCAATCAACCAACCAAATAGAATACGATTCAATCATCCTCTAATAATTTTGATGATATTTGATAATCTTTAATATAATTTCGTCTTTCATAGCCGTTACTTCCCAAACTCATCGATAGTGTGGACAACTTTATCAATGGAAAACTCAGCTTTGGTTATGACGTGGGGAARGGATACATWGTTGCTGAGGAAGAGGTTAACAAACTGATAGAACACATGGTGGTTGACAAGAGAATCACACGCGATTTGAAAGTTCGTTCAGATCAGAACAGACTTGATGTAGTAAAAAGTCTAGGTAAATTAATGATGATGATGATGGTGATGATGATGATAATGATGATGATAATAATGATAATGACAATGGTTGATGATGATAAGAATTATAATGATGATGATAATGATGATGATGATGATGACAATGGTTGATGATGATAACAATGATAATGATGATGATGATAATGATGATGATGATGATGATGATGATGACAATGGTTGATGATGATAAGAATGATAATGATAATGATGATAGTGATGATGATAATGATGCTGCTGGTGATGATGATGATAATTATGATAATAATGATGATGACATGGATCCAATCATTTAGAGGTGCCACTGTATATTGACCATAATATTTTATCAACCAGGTATGTTGCAGCGTGAACACCCTGGAATTGCAATATCCGTGAAAACAAGACAAGCAATCAGAACGGTGCTTAACAATGCACGTGACGTTGCTACTGAGCTTCGTGGTGGAGGACTACTCGATGAAGCAGAGTTCAAAAARCTTGAATCGGTATGGGAATTGAAGACGGAGAGATTCACGAAAGAATGGATGAACAAATGAATGGGAGTATGGATGGATGAATAATTACATGTAACTTCATTTCAGATTATCGAAACAAAGATGAAGAAACAGTTAAGCGCACCATCATACATTCCACCCCAGACCCCCGAGACTTTACTGCGCAGCGTAGTTTGGCTGGAGGGAATGGATTCCGAGGTGATTGATGCCATTACATTTATGGCGGAAATGAGGGTGTTTGACTTTGGTGAAACTATCTCAAGGCAGGGAGATGAAGTCGATGGAATCTACCTTATTATTAGTGGCATGGTCAAGGTTTGTACGTTCTGAATTTTATTATCGTCGTCTTTGCATGCAGC